CAGAATATTCTAAATCATGTTTCTATAACATATAAGGAATGATCGACACTACCCATATTTGGTAGAAGTCCTGACTGGATTAATAATACTGAAGGAGCAAGCGGCGGACATGACAATAACAATAATAATCGTCCGAAAAATTCCGTACTGAATCACAATAGCACGATGATTTATGTAACACGAATAGCATGTATATCATGGTCAGGATATTAGATTTTCATGGGATACAACTGAGGGAAATTTACATGGAATTAAAATAGGGGAAATGTCAATAGGGGATACAAATGAGGGATGACTACATAGAGAGAACAAGCATTACTAACAAAGTGACATTTGAACAAGATCATAATAGAAGGGTTTTGATTTCAGTATTGTATCACACGCCGAACCTCCTGAATCAAAACCATAACAAAAGTAGCAATCTCGTGAAACATTTAGAAGGATTGTTTATTTTCAGGGGGTAGTACAATATATTCATGTATTTAAATTAGCGGCGATACTGATATGAACACAGATACCACCTTTATCCGTCAAGTTACTCGCACACTTGCACGAAGTCTCGATGGCATAGCAATATCAACCGCCATATTCTGTAAGTTTAACAAAACGAAAAAGCGTAATACCGGTGACGATTTTTATAGAGGGATTGTATTGTTGGGTGAATATGGCTAAATTCGTTATTTATTTCTCATTCATTGTTGAATTTAAAGGCAATTCAATCTCCGACTTGTTGCAGTGATGTCAGGTACTTATCACACTATAAATCACTCATCCTATTTAAACGAACTATTGACGCGACTGCCTCTCTTTATCTCTCAAACTTTCTTTCAAACTTTACATCCCCACATCCCACTGACAACTCACCGCATCAATCAAAGCAAAGTCCAACGGTTCCAGAACTCACACTGAACTTTCTTTTCTCACTTATACCCCACAATATTAAAATATGGTTTTCATAAAGATGGCGGAAAGACGTCTCCTTAGAGCGGTCTTCGTTAGAGGGGCCGAAAACCGTTTCCTTAGGGCCGAAAACCGTTTCCTTAGAGCCGAAAAACGTTTCACGACGACAAATAACGTACAGGCAACACGTGAGTACTGTACTGTGTTTCTTTCTTGTATTGTCAGAATACCTGAACAAGCAATATTACATTTCAGATACACCCAGTAGCTGGCGCTGGCAAGAATTTGGCGCGTTTATAGGAATACTTGCAACAATGTTTGGAGGATTCGGGTGGGCGATGGACGCGAAAATAGGAGGTTTAGACGCGAAAATAGGAGGTTTAGACGCGAAAATAGGAGGTTTAGGGGAAAGGATGGACAGATTTGAGACAAGGATTGAGGCAAGGATTGGCGAGTTAGAGGAGAAGGTGGATGATTTAAATGTGAAGGTGCATGAAATTCGTGGTTGGATGGCAAGGTAATAATTCAACGTTCTTAATAGTAGTTGACGTAAAAAGAAGAACTTATTAAAACATTGTTGTGTAAATAGGGATAGTCCAGAGAAGGAGCAACAACATTGCTGAATGTGCTGCCAAAAAGCTGTGGCATGATTTGTGCTTGCATTATCATATAGGAAAAAATAATTACGCCAGACGTTCGAGCATTACCACCAAGAAATAGACAAGAGCCACCAACTAAAGGCAGAAGACTTGAATTACTTATGACGCGAAAACATGCAAGACAAAGTCATACAGACAACGGATACTTTTTCCTGGTATTCGTGCGGAAGTTTGTTAATTTTTAGCATTGTAAAATTTCTTTCAAACTTGACTCAAGTTTGGTACTGGATTTACGTACTATTGGTAGTGTTATTAGGATTGGTTATTATTATTATTGCAGTTTGGTTGAAAGGGCGCAACCACCGTATTTTTTTCAGAGAAATAAATTTGTCAATAGCATTGCGTATCTGTTTACACGTGACACGAGTGTATAGCATTAATATTAAATACAAATAACCTTACGCGACTTACATAGTTATCTATTAGAATCAAACAGTAAAGACTAACAAGCAATGATTATGTAAAAAACGTTACACGTTACAAGAACAAAATGGATGTTTGAGAAGCATCTTACTGATCTTAAAGATTGTCATTGGGTCGAGCATTTGTGGAATAAACTTGGTCAAGTCTTTCTGAACCGATTGAGAGAATTAGGGTCTATGTTTGAACAGGAATGGTTGCAAATTCCTCCTGAAATATATCTAAGTTAATTGATCGTATGTCAATAATGTAGATCTATTTTGTAATTTCGACGACACATTTTAATTTCACATTAATGTTAAGAACAAGAGCTTTCAAATGATGTAAAAATCGTGACTATCTGGTACATTTTTGAAATACAGCAGGTTTGTCCGGGGAGCAGAGATCAACAGCTGAATAGATTCTTTATTCCCACTCTGGCATGATTTACGATATTTATACATTAGTCAACTCCGTGTCAATTAAGATCTTTTTCTTGTTTCATTTTTAATCCTGAATGAATGAATGAATGAATGAACTGTCTGCAATGCAATTGTGTAATTTTCTAAGGCAACGGCGCAAAAAAGCGTTATTAGGTTTATAAGTTGCCCGAATACCTTGCTTCTTCATCGAAATACAGTCATACCTCGTTTATATCCCCACTTTGGGACGGCGCTTTTTCGGGGATATATTCGAGATGGGAGGTATGTACACTCACTGGACAAAAGTCTACGTAATTTTTGCCGATCATCGATCCAAACGATTGTACAATCAAACTTTGA